GAATACACACGTGCTGGTTGTTACGCTTTGCTGAATTCTGGAGTTCTGGTTTGTCGGGTTGTACCGATATACGTGCGAAACTTAATTCCCACGGGCCCCACGCTATAACACACACTAGTTGAAGGCACTTTAAATGCACTGTGTGGTATTTGAATGAATAAAATCACCTTATCCTGATCTTTTGATAGAAAACAGTGATCACTAATGAACAAGAAGGCGTGAGAAAGTTGTCCTACATACCTAACAAATGCGGAGGCATCCGTGAGTACATTGAGCGTTGAATTTCTATGAACTCTACGGAGTTAAAACCATCCGAAGCCGCCGGTTAGCGGTGGCCTGCATATACAACCTAATGATGTTGCAACGAACTCCTTGCCTAAAAATTTTGCAGCACCAGGAAGAAGGACTGAGGCCGTTCATTGAGGGTTGTAGACATTACTGGTAATACACAGACATGTTTCTCGTGACAGCGGTCTTCGGGCAACTTGTACCTCTTCAACATCCCAATGTGCCTTACCGAAATATGAGGAAAATGGCTACCCCACTGGCATACCAGATGGATTGGCACAGCTCAGTGTGTATCGAAATTCCAGCACATCTCTCATATTCTTCCAAAGATTTGGTTCCGCGCAACATAATCTTCGCATGAGATGCCGAAAAATCCCTGATATTTCCACCTGCATCCACTGACTGACCAATGTATTGCTGGCTGACTCTTGTGATTAGGAGCAGTTCCGCGTTTAGAACCCAAAATGTTTGTTGACCAAACACGAATAACTATGCTCACCCAAATTCTTTCATCTAAACTTTTCGAAAAGAGGCACCAGAATCGCCGTCCCTTCCATCGCACTTGTGGCTTTATTGGCCGACACCGATTGTCCATCTCCCTCACAGCACCTTAAAGCAATCTGGACATTCTGGCTCGAGCTGCAAGAAAGTGTACTTGGAGCGCTTCGTGGCTTCCGGCGCTGTAGGATGTTGTTTTTTCCATCTTTCCTTTGCCTCCATTATAACATTGGGTATTTCTCCAATTGCATAAGCGTTTTTTGTTTGAATATGGAACACTACAAAATCGTGCACTTGCACAAATCACGCACTACACACGTGGTCGCGTGCTTCGACCTCCTCTTCTGATTTAGCTTGCGCTTTCAGCGGTCATTCGCAGGTTTCATGCGGTATCGAAACCTTTCAGAATACCCTCGGATTTTATTATATGGGAGAACTGTATAGAAGGTCTCTGGACAACCAGGACCGTATTATTATTCACTACCCGACCCGGGCCAACGACGAACTATCTGAAAAAGAACAAGTCTTAGTGAGTTTGTTCTATCTGACCTCCATTACTGTGAATTCTTTTAAGGCAGGTCTTTTGGTAGCCAGACCACCACACTGGTCATGATGTACGACTTCACACGCTATTATCTTTGCTGTCTGACACTCACCATCAGATACTCTCACATTCAGACTGACCTCGGTTCTCATAATGGTAACCTGTAAGTATGTCGCATCCTTTCGCACCAACAAGCGGCTAACGATGGCGCCTTATAATTCACACAATGGAATCGAATCTTCGAAAGCTACGACGTGTCCCTTTGGACAAAGCGAGACAAGCAATTGAGTTCAGAGAATGAGTCCAGTCTTGTGAGCCCCATCTAGGCGTCTCGGGTTATCAGTGCTGTTAGGAAAGTATTCCACCAGGTTTTTCTGCCAGAGGTATGATTGCTTCAGCGGGCAATGAAATCAGTGAGCTGCAAAAATATAGACGTATAATAAGATGATTTGAAATGTGAGCACATATGCCACAAAACGCAATATTTTGCCGCAAAAGGTTTCATTCCATGTGCGAAGGTTTTGCAGTTAAGAGCATTATGCGCTTAATGGGTTGTGTTCGCAAATTTCGCGGGGCGAAACAATTTTTCTGGACAAATGTTCCTTTTTGAGAAAAAATTCCCGAATTCACCGGCACTTTCCGTATCGAATTCTTTCTATAATCAATTTGACAGCGCCGTTATAGCGTGGTGGTCTGGCTACCCAATAAGTTAGTTTACCAGGAGTGTGTGGCAAGGAAATAACAATGATTGCGCTAGGTTGGGTATACAAAAATAAAGAGATCAGAGGGAACAGACTCACTAACAATTGTTCTCTTTAAAATAGTTCGTCGTTAGCCCAGGTCAGCGAATGAACAATAATCCAATTATGTTGGTCCAGAGGTCTTCTTCTGAACAGTTCCCACATATAAGTTTGAAGTGTTTTGGTACCAGAGTTAGTATATGAGACTCGCGAATGACCGCTGCAAGCGCGAAAGAAATCAGAAGAGAGAGTCGAAGCACGTGACCACGCTTGTATCCTGTGAAATTGTACAAGTGCGCGTTTTTGTACTTTTTCGTATTCAAACAAAAAACGATTGTGCAATTGATGAAATGCGTAGTGTTATAATGGAAGTAAAATAAAGGTACAAAACGCCACAATGCCTAACAGTGTTCTTTATCCCAGTCATTTGTAGTTTTGCTAAATTTTGGTGGATGGCAACACTTCACCTTTGGTTGACTGTCGTACAGAGTGTTCGAATTTGAGCTACCGGCAACATGTCGAATGAGGTCTAGGTTATATTTTTTAGCGTAAAGTCATACACCACCGAGAAAACCTGTGAGGAACACCTGTTCAAAGCCGCGTGTCATTACCATGTGGGTGGCCGAACTAGGGATTATCGCACCATTTTGTTACATGTCGAATATCCTCACAATGTATAGGGAAGGTCGGAACATATTAGATGAAGTTGACTTTCTCAGACCCCATTCAAGTGAGGCTGACACCATTTTGATGTCGAATATCCTCACAATGTATAGGGAAGGTCGGAACATATTAGATGAAGTTGACTTTCTCAGACCCCATTCAAGTGAGTGAGGAGCTTTCGTTTCATCTGACTAAAGCTAAATTCATGCGTTCTTAGAGGGTTATTGGATGCCGCTATTACCTCATGTCACTTTGTACCTCATTACAACATCACATCAGTGTTGGTTCATTCAAAACATGGGTTCTGCCGAACTATCTGAAATCCCAAATTTCGCTCTATGCCGTCCTTATTCTCAGTCAGACTTCAATACCTATATGAGGTTTAATTTCGGCCGCTAGCACAGTTTATTACCCTAAATGCGCCATTCGGTAATAAATACAGTTCGCCATTCGGTATAAATACAGTTCTAACTAAATCAGTAAGTTGTACCCCAATTAATGCCATTCATAACCAAAGCAATAAAGCTGCTCATCCCCGGCTGACACAGCACCGTTGTTTTTCCAATTTTACTGCAGGACTTCCTGACCTAGAAGTTTGTGTTTTTGGCACACGTGCTTCCCTCAACCTCCCACCCAACACCAACAACGTAGTCAGCAACCCACCTGGTCTTTGCGTCCGTTAACTGCACATTCACTTCTTGCATTTTCCGCAGAGTGCACCCTATTTTTTACTATTAAAATAGCTTCGACCATATATTTTAAAGCAATGGTTTTAACATATTCTGACAGTAGCCACTTAAATTTGATGGTGCACTGACTTTAACCCCGCCTTCTTCTAGATTTTCTATCACTGAACCTGTGTATGTTTTCTCGTCTAGGGCTAATCAGCTAGCGCCCGTGGGGCTCCTAGCAGTTCCCAAGCATCCTCTAGACTGTAGACC